GAGGAAGATGGGCACGGATGTTAGCCCAGGGCCAGTCTTCCTCAGCAAAAAAAGAGGAGGATTGGCAGATGTTAGCACAGGGCTGATCTTCCTCACAAAAATAAAATAAAATAAAATAAAATAATAAAAAAAAGAAACTTTCATTAAGAATTAGCATATAGTGGTGATAGTTGCACAGCATTGTGAATGTAATTAATGCCACTGAACTGTATACTGAAAGATGGTTAAAATGGCAAATTTTATGTTATATATATTTTATCACAATTTAAAAACATATATGAATGGGGAAAGAAGAAAAGTTGGTGTATTTTGCAATTATGTACCCTTTTTATAGAGTCAGTTCAATATTTTTTGGTACTTAGATAATTCACACTGTATAAGCCTAAAATATGTCAGTTAAAAGTCTTTACCTGAATTTCCACTTCAAAGATTAACCATATAACAGAAATTCTAAAGTAAAAAGTTCAAACAGCTGGCATGTTCAAAGTATCTGAGGTATAATAGCTAAAGCATTTTAAGATTAAACAGCCTCACAACTGTTACCATTACTCCTTGAAGTTTTTCTTCAACTATCATACAATAAGAACATTTTTGAAATCTAAGCTGTTTCTTAAGTCAAAATTAAATAAAAAAATAAATAATTTAGGAGTTCAAAAGTCATTCAACATTTTTAAATGATCATAATCCAACTAACCTTTTTTTTCCTCAGTAATTTTTCTCTGAATTTATTAGTGATAAATCCCCTTGGGCCAGCGAACCGTAAATGCTGATATTTAGCCTGAATGCACAAGCTCTTCTGTACTAGGCCTGATTTATAATGGGGCTGGAATCTGCCACCTCTAAAGTTGGTCTGTAAAGGAAAAAATAATTGAATGTTAAAACTACAGCTTCCAAATCTACTTTATAAGAAATGGAAAAATATCTGACACTTAGAGCTGCTCTTAATTCTAGGCACTACAGATATTAAAAGGGAAAAGGTTAATGATGGTAATAAAGTATGATTTCCTTAAACAAGCTTCCTAGTTTATTCTATATAATAATAATTTTTTAAAAAATATTTTATAAAACCAATTTTTAAAACTAAGTTAAAATTTTTTAAAATTCTTAAAATTTATCATGCTGAGAAAAATACAACTTTCAAAACCTCTAATGAGCTAAAATTATCCTTATGATTCATAGTGAAATATATCAAATCCCAAGTTGGGGAGGGAGAGGAAGACATTAAGTATCAACATCTATTTAAGAATCAAAAACTCTCTTAACTTTATTTCTGTTAGCACATTTGAACCAATCTTTCTTTACCATAAAAATCCCATTATAGCAAATATTTTCAAGGTAAGAGTTATACTTAAAAAGACTATTTCCTGACCTGCATACTGCCCAGTATTACAATAGACGTAAGAGGACAATGAATATTTGTGTGTTTTCCATATGAGAAATGTACAAAAAGTATATTACAATGGAGTAATTATAAAAACTAAGTAGATTCTTCTTTCCACAATTAATTAATAAATGGGTATGTCATGTATAATGAAGCACATACATTTATAAAAAAATATTTATGCCAGGCCTATTTTCCAATTATTTTCTTAAGGCTACAAAACATTTCAGGTAAAATAGAATTATAATGAGACACTATAATTTTGTTAAAACTATATGCACAAACTTGATACATCAGAGCTAATCTTGAGATTTACATTGTCCACTTTTACGTATCTAATAAGGTGATTACTGTCTGGCTTTGAATTAGTCCAGTGCATGCAAAAAGTAAATTTTAATGACATAGCTCCTTTTCTTAGGAAGGATTATTTCTTCCCCCTATTTTACTATAAAGAATTGTGAATTTCTAAACAACCATATAACATTACACAGCTTTAAATGATTGGTCAAGAGGAAAGTTTACTGCACATATTTTTAAAACCATTTTTTAATAATTAATGTTAAAGAATTTTCCCTTGAGGAGAAAGGGTAACAGGAAATAGATCTTATAACAGTCTTAGAAAAATACTACAATCAACTGTATCTGACCAACGAGAAGAGCAACATGTAGGAAGCACTTATATCTGAAAGCCCACCTACACTGTCTCTAAGTTATTCACACGTCACATTTTCAGTTGATTTTATGCCTCATTACTCAAGAGATTAAAAGATGGTATAAAACATGTTCATATATTCTATGGCCATAGCTATTTTTGAAAACCTAATTCACACATGTTTTTAGGTACATGAACCATTGGCTAAAAATGTTATCTACACAATGCCTAAAATTCTGTTACTCTCAGTGGAAAAAATCTTTCAACATCTAGAAAGTCTGATTCTCAAGAAGCCACGTACTAACAGAAGCTCACTCAACTACCCTCCTAGTCTATGGTGTGGGGATAGTTTACACTACCTTTCTGCTCATACTGACTTCCTCCTCATGAGCTAATGACTCTATCCAGCCTGCCTGCTACTTTCACACAAAAAAGCCCAGACTCTTTTCCTTTCCTTTTAGCAGGGATGGGAAAGAGACACTGTAGAGTCAAAAATATAAATAACTACCTATCATAAGCAGGAAATTCAGTCAAAATGAATTTAAAAACACCTCAACTTCTGAGAGCAAGGAGAGAGAAATATAATACTTTGCACTTTAATTCTCATTCCATGTTTGGGGGATGAGGTGTTCTGCATAATCAAACATGTTGGTTGATGAAAACTATCACTTACATCAGACATAGCTGTACAAATGAGAATGTGATGAAATATGCTTTGTTAAAACTTGTTGGACCAGGACCTTTCTCTGATGATCCAGAAGGCCTCTGAGGGTTGCGTGTCTATGGGCAGGGTTTCTTAATCTGTGAATCCTGGAGAAGGCTCTGTAGCTATGCACTTACATCTGAGAGAGAAAGGAGCAGGCTAAAAGGGAGGGTCTAGGACCTTGCCTACCTCCCATCTAGAGCCACTCCATTTGTATCTGTTTTATATTTTTGTGTTTCCATGTAATATGTGAAAAAAGGGTTCCACTGGCAAAATATATTTGGAAATCAAGTCCTGAGGAAAGGGATCATCATTAAACTGATTACAGTTAACTATAAAGGTCAAGAAATACTAGTTTATAGTTACTATTTGAAATATCACAGGGCCAGCCCCGTGGCTTAGCGGTTAACTACGCGCGCTCCACTACTGGCGGCCGGGGTTCGGATCCTGGGCGCGCACCTACACACTGCTTCTCCGGCCATGCTGAGGCCACGTCCCACGTACAGCAACTAGAAGGATGTGCAACTACGACGTACAACCATCTACTGGGGCTTTGGGGGAAAAAAAAGGAGGAGGATTGGCAATAGATGTTAGCTCAGAGCCAGTCTTCCTCAGCAAAAAGAGGAGGATTAGCATGGATGTTAGCTCAGGGCTGATCTTCCTCACACACACAAAAAAAGAAATATCACAAAACAGCTTTTAATTTACTAACACTTATAACATTATGTTCAAAGCATAAACTCAACGCTGGAGTTAAATGGAAAATAACACTCAATACCTTAAAAGGTCTTCTAAAGCCTCTTGTGTTTTCATGGTTTCCCTCAACTCCAAAAGGTTTGTGAGTAATGTCTTTTCTCTGCATAGTTTGATAATTCTGTATGAAAAAAAGTATTAGTATGGGTTAATACACTTTAAAGCTTATTTTTAAAAGTTCATTTTACCATTTAAAAAACACGTTTTAAATGTATAGGATTAAGAACACAAAACGTATATTATGTAGCCTAGCTATAGGACTATATACACATCTTCCTTCCATGCTAGTTTGTGAGGGGCTAGTTTAATTCACGAATGTGAGAAGTGTAAAAAAATACTCCTATATAACACAGTGGGTGACTTTTAGAAAATGGACTATAAATCTAGTATGTATTCAGGCATCCAGAAGAGAAACACACCTATTATCATCAGGAGTTGCTAAAGAGTTCCTGCTGCCTAAGAAGAAAACAAATTCTCAAGGCTGCAGAAGGTGGGTTTTGCTGACTCAGATAACTGATTTGAGTAGATGCTCCTGCCATGACCAGGAAAGTATCAGAAGTCAGAGTATTAAGACTGTAACCACAGGGGCCGGCCCCGTGGCCTAGTGGTTAAAGTTTGGTACACTCTGCTTTGGTGGCCCAGGTTCATGGGTTTGGATCCCGGGTGCCGACCTACACCACCTGTCAGCCATGCTGTGGTGGCAAGTCACATACAAAATAGAAGGAGATTGGCACAGATGTTAGCTCAGGGCTAATCTTCCTCAAGCAAAAAAAGAGGAAGATTGGCAGCAGATGTTAGCTCAGGGTGAATCTTCCTCAGCAAAAAAAAAAGAAACAAAACAAAAACAACAATAAAAAAAGACTGTAACTACAGAGAACCTGAATCCTTTGATAGGAACAGAAAAGATGGGTCCCGTTCTGAAGACAGTTTCTTTTTTCCAAAATCAATAGTCTTATAACCTTCTATTTATTCGATTTGCTATGGAGTCTGTACTTGTCACAAATCTTCCTCTTTCACACCTTTATCTCTCTCCCCAGTTAAAAAAAAAAGTCTTATAAAACCCTTTTCATAATTTTATTTATTTACTTTTTTCCCCCAAAGCCCCAGTAGATAGTTGTATGTCATAGCTGCACATCCTTCTAGTTGCTGTATGTGGGCCGTGGCCTCAGCATGGCTGGAGAAGCGGTGCATCGGTGCGCGCCCGGGATCCGAACCCAGTCCGCCAGTAGCGGAGCGCGCACACTTAACCACTAAGCCACGGGGCTGGCCCTTTTTTTTTTAATAATTTTATTTATTTATTTTTTTTCATAAAACTCTTTTCATAGTAGTCATCTTGAATTTATACTCTATAAATTTGAAAAAGTACATAAAGATACATGTAATAAGGTGAGACTTTTGGGGACCTTTGGAGGGAGGAGGTGTATTTTGCATATGAAGGGATGTGAATAATTGGGGGCCAGTGGGAAGACTGTACCAGGCAGCTTCTGACCAAGCTCCTAATCATCCCCACCTTCTAGTACCCAGGCCCCTATGTCATCCCCTTCCTTTGAGTGTGGGCTGGACCTAGTGACTTGTTTCTTACAAACAGAGTGTGGTAGAAGTGATGAGATGTCACTTCTGAGATTAGGTTACAAACAGACTCTGGCTTCCATCTTTCTAGCTGTCACTTGCTTGCTCTTTTGGAAGCCAGCTGCCATATTGTGAACTGCCCTATGAAAAGGCAAATCTTTAGAAACAGAAAGTAGATTAGTGGTTAGCTGGGGGTGGGAACAGGGAATAACAGGCATGAGGGCTCTTACTGGGGTCATGAAAATCTTCTAAAACTGGATTATGATGATGGTTACACATCTTGGTAAACTTACGAAAAGTCATTAAAATGTATACCTAAAATGGGTGAATTTTATGTTACATAAATTATACCTTAATAAAGCCGTTCCCAAAAAATCTTAAGAAAGCTAATACTATAATAAATGCAATAAAATCCTGCTGAATCAAATAAGAGATGACCATTTCTTCAGTCATAATAACTGTAAGCCTTAACAGAATCTTAATGTTGAAGAACAGAATCAGAATATGTACTTAATGAACAGTTACCAACATGAAAAATATTGGTAATCCCTGTACATATAGATATATGTGATAAGGAGAATGGAATGTACAAAAAAGAAACATTTTGAACTGAAATCTTACCATATAAGGTTTCTGAATAAATTTTCTAAAATTGGATTCTATAAAACATGTAGGTTTTTGGAATCCATCAACTTGAGTATTCTCCAACCTTGAAAAACTGGATTGCTGATCATTCCTAATAAAATGAAAGAGAAAAAATAAGAATTTTCTATTAGTTTACCTTTATCCAACAAATAAACAAGAGAAATCAAATTAACCCCTTCAGAAACAAAGCAGCATAGCAGTAAAAAACAAAAACAAGAAACCTCAATGATCTATCACTACTAAAATTACAGAATTACAAATCACTAAAATTACAAATGATAATTATCAGGGCTAAAACTCTCATTTTTCAACCAACATTATTTAGCTAAGTTGGAAGTTAGCAATAGGGGAAAAACAGTATTCCCCGGACCAGGGTTCTCAATCTGGGGTCCAAGGACAGGCATCCTGAGGGCTGTACCACCAGGAACCATAAGGAGAATGTGTGTTTTCTAAGGGAAGAGAATCACTGCTCTCGAGCTTTGGCAGAACCCGTCACCCCTTGCCGACAGACTCTTACTGGTGAAAGCACTGGGGAGACGAGGTGTGTGACTGGCTTAGGCCCTCCCACTGGCAGAGCCAGGGCCTCTGATACTGCTGGGCCACAGGAGCAAAGGACAGCTCCCCTCTCCTGTTGTCACGAGGTTCAGAGGCCACCAAAGGCTCTTCCCAGGCAGCCCTACCTGGGAGGGAGGTCCTTCCTTGGGCTACTCCTCTGACGCTGGGGCCTCATTTCCACAGTCCTTGGGGAGTCCTCTCCCTGTCACATCCCACATCTCCCCACGATGCTCCTCACACCCTTCCTGCTCTGTGGTGAACAAATGGCTCACTGCCTTGACCCTGCTTCAGTCCCTCCCACAGGTCCCCCACTGACATGAGGACAAAATCCACACTCCATATCACTGATCCCCAAGGCCCTTCCTGCTCTGGCCTTGCTGCCTCGCCTGGTTGCTTCGCTCCAATCTCCCCAACACACACACTGAGCTTCGGGAACATCTAGCTACATGCAATTCCTGGCACACATCACACTCTCTCCCGCTTCCACACATTCGCACATGCAGTTTCTTCTGTTGTAATTTCCTTCTAACTTAGATCAACTTCAAGATTTAGCTCCATTTGCACCTGCTCCAGGAAGGCTTCCCCAGAACCCCCTGAAGTGGACTAGATACTGCTGCTCTGTGCACATGCAGCACTTTGGGGTCCTCACATGTATCCCTCGTGTTTGTAACAGCTGGTGCACCTGCCTGTCTCACCCAGAAAGCAGCGATCCCTGCACAGGAGGCACTGTGGCTGGTTCATTTTGTGGCCCCAGCTCTGACCCCGGGACCTGACATGAAATAGCCACTCAGGGTTTTTTGAAATGTTAAAAACCCCCATGTTCTATCAAAATGCTCATGATATGATAGTAAGTCAAAAGAGTAGGGTGCAAAGCCATATATTAAGGATAATTTCAATTATTTAAAATATATATATATGCCCATAAAAAATAAATGCAAGGAAATGTACTAAATAATAACAGTGGTCATCTCTGAGTGGTGAATTAAGAATGCCTTATATTTTTGTTTTTACACTTTATTATATTTTTCCAAACGTTTAGCATTTAGCATATACTACTACTTCTATAAACAAAACAACGGACTTTGAAAAATCCTCCTTGCAAAGCACATATCTAATAAGGGAGTGGTATACAGAATACATAAAGAGCTCTTACACTTCAATAATAAAAGGATAATAATCCAATTTAAAAATGGGCAAAGGATTTGAATAGGTATTTCTCCAAAGAAGACACACAATAAGCACATGAAAAGATGCTCAACATCATTAGTTATCAGGGAAATGCAAATCAAAACTACAATGAGATACTACTTTATACCCACTAGGGTGGCTATCAAAAAGATGACAACACCAATGTTCACAGCAGCATTATTCACAATAGCCAAAAGATGGAAACAACCCAAATGTCCCTCGAGAGAAAAATGGACAAACGAAATGTGGCATATCCATATGATGAAATATTATTTAGCCTTATAAAGGAATAAAAATTTTTTTTTTAAAGATTTTATTTATTTTATTTTTCCCCCCAAAGCCCCAGTGGATAGTTGTATGTCGTAGCTGCACATCCTTCTAGTTGCTGTATGTGGGACTCGGCCTCAGGATGAATGGAGAAGCGGTGCCTCGATGCGCACCCGGGATCCAAACCCGGGCCACCAGCATCGCAGCGCGCACACTTAACCACCAAGCCACAGGGCCGGCCCCTTAAAAAAATGGAATTCTGACACATGATACAACATGGACGAAAACATTATGCTAAGCGAAACAAGCCAGACACAAAAGGACAATTAATGTATGATTCTACTTATATATATGAGGTATCTAGAATAGGCAAATTCACAGAGATGGAAAGAATAGAGGTTATCAGGGGCTGAGGGGCAGGGGGGATGGGGGAATTACTGTTTAGTTGGTACAGAGTTTCTGTGTGAGAAGATAAAGTTCTGGAAGTGGATAAGGGGTGATGGTTGCACAACATTGTGAATGTACTTAATGCCAATGAATTGTACACTTAAAAATGATTAAAATGGTAAAATTTATGATGTGTATATTTTACCACAACAAAAAAATTTTAGCTCTTTGATATTTGATTTTTGACCAGGCAAATGAGTATCGAGGTTGAAGAATCTACTTCCCAGCCTCCCTGCAGCCAGGCATGGCCATGAGACTAAATTTTGACCAGTGTTGCTGAAGTGTCTGTCATATGTAAATTCCAGGAATCTTTAAAGGAAAGGCTAGAATGTAAACACGATGGCTAGGGCACAAACGCCCATCTTGGACCATGAGGCAGAAGCCATGTGCAGAGGATATCTGAGGAGCAAGATCTAAGGAGCCTGGTTCCCTAATGGGTCCACCCTACCATGCTCTGACTTCCTGCCTCTAATCTTTTTTTATATAAGAAATAATTTTTTCTCTAGCTCTTACAGTCCATTCTCCACACAGAAACCAGAGTGATCCTTTTAAAGTTTAAATGAGATGTCTCAGGGCCAGCCCCGGGGCTTAGCGGTTAAGTGCGCGCGCTCCGCTGCTGGCGACCCGGGTTCGGATCCCGGGCGTGCACCGACGCACCGCTTCTCCGGCCATGCCGAGGCCGCGTCCCACATACAGCAACTGGAGGGATGTGCAGCTATGACATGCAACTGTCTACTGGGGCTTTGGGGGGAAAAATAAATAAATTAATTAATTAAATTAAATGAGATGTCTCTTCTTGGGTTAGAACCCAAAATGTTTTCTAATCTCACTCAGAGTAAATTACAAAATCTTCATATCCTTCAAGGACCTTGTGGTTTGGCCTCATCTATTAACTCTCTCCCTTTTTCACTGTATTACCACCTCAATGGCCCCTTTCTATTCCTTATATAAGAGCAAGCATGATCCTGCTGCAGGGTCTTTGCATTTGCTGTTCCCTCTCTTGAAATACTATCCCCCTCAAAAAACTTTATGGCTAACTCTCTCACTTAATTCACATCCCTGCTCAATTTTTTAAAAAATCATAAGTGCATTCCATGACTATCCTAAACAAAATCACACCACACATATCACTCTATTAAACTTCCTCTTCTGCCTTACTTTTCACCTGTCACTCACCGACATGTATTTGGTTTTTTTCTTTCTCCTACCATTAAAGTGTAAGCTCCATGAAGTCAAGGGCTTTATGTATAGTTTCTCACTGTATCCCCAGTGCTTAGAATAGTGATTAGAACATAGAAATTAATATATAAATATTTGTTGAATACATGAACAAAAGATCTTTATAAAGTTAACTCTAGTTCAGTAGAAATTATAGATTGTTAAAATAGCAAAAATAAAAACTGATGTTTTCTGTAACCTGCCTAACTACAAAGAAAGTCTCAGCAGTTTGATGTCCTCTCCGAGTCTACTGATACTATTTTGAAGCCGCTTTATCACACACATACCATGCCTATATAACACAACACCTCAATAACACTGCAGGGAACCTAGTAATGCTGGTTACAAGAGGGAGAAATAGTGTGTCAGGAGGAGACATGGAGACATTAGGGTGAGAGATTGGTCAGAAGTGGGAGAAAATAGAGAACAACAGGGTCTTAGAGACGAGACAGAATGCCCTAGTGGTAGGCTTGCTTGGGAAGGATCCTAAGGTATCAGGGAACACAGAGTGATTCAGATCTAAATGCATGACAATCTGAGTATCCTCTGTCTGTCTACTCCTCTGGAAAGTCTGCATTCTTTCAACAACTATGGACTGAGCTGGAGGCAGTGGGGATACAATGGTGAGCAAACAGAGACACAGAGCCTGCATACAACTTTTGAGGGAAAAAAAATCACATGGGGGGAAATTGCTACATCCTATGATTTATGATTTCATCATATTTTATTTCTTCTGAATTTCTATGGAAATCTATACACTGACTTAACTAAAAAGGTTTATGCACAAATATTAATATCAATTTTGATAAACTGAGTTTCTAAGATAAAAGGATAAAATAAAATGTTTTTCTTATTTTAACAAGGAAAATGAATTAGGATAAAGTGAGAAATTAAAGGTTCTATGTCACTTTTTTAAAAAGATGAACAATAACAAGTGCTGGTGAGGATGTGGAGAAACTGGAGCCCTCATACACTGCTGGTGGATATGTAGAATGGTGCAGCCACTGTGGAAAACAGCCCGGCAGTTCATCAAAAAGTTAAACATAGTTATCACATGACCCAGCAATTCCAATCCTATGTATATACAGAAGAGAAATGAAAACATATGTCAACAAAAAAACTTGCACACAAATGTTCAGAGCACCATTATTCACAATAGCCAAAAGGGGAAACAACCCAAATATCCATCAACTGGTGAATGGATAAACAAAGTGTGGTACATCCACACAGTGGAATATTATTCAGCCATAAAAGGAATATTCACGCTACCACATGGAGGAACGTTAAAGACATTATGTTACAGGAAAGAAGTCAGTAACAAAAGGCCACATATTATATGACTGCAATTATATGAAATGTCAGGAACAGGCAAATCCATACAGACAGAAAGTAGATTAGCAGTTGCCAGGGGCTGGGGGGGAGGAGAAATAGGGAGTGACAGCTACTGGGTACAGGGTTTCCTTTTGGGGTGATGAAAATGTTTTGGAATTAGATAGCGGAGACAGCTGCACAACTTTGTGACTATATTTAAAAACTACTGAATTGGTCACTTTCAAATGATGAATTTTATGGTAAGTAATATCTCAATTTAAAAAAAATCCTCATGGCTCCACTATGTCACACCAGCTATCCAATACAAATAAAACAGTCTAACAGATCTAGCAAAAGACACCTTGCAGGAAGACATTTTTGCATGCTGCAACATCATCCTTAAAGCTAACATTAATAATACTTAATGCTGACCAGCTACTCTGTACCTTACGTGTATCACTTAATCTTAGTCACCACTGTGAAGTAAGTATAATTCTTATCTCTCTGTTTTCCAGCTCAGAAAACAGAGATGAAGTAACTTGCCCAAGGTCAGTCACACAGCCAGGTGTCTACAGAGCCAGGCGTTGAACTCAGTTGAACTCATGGGTAACGCCAGTGCCCAAGCTCTTAATCACCTCAGAGGGGGAAGAAATATTCTGAAGTGTTACATGGTCTTTACAATATGCTGATTATCTTACAGCTGTTTTAAAAATTCTTTCTTAGTACACTAAATGTCTTACACTTGCTGAGTCAAGAAAAGCATGAGAGAGAGCTTGTGTCACTAAAGAGCACAGTCATGCCATTTCATATTAGGAAACTGGAGACTTTCACCCAGCCAGGGACGAGATTTTAACTATTTTATTTTCAGTTGTTTTATATACCTCAACACACAGTTTTGCTATCTTTTAATTAGTCTCATACTTACGTCAGAATCAAGCCCAGTTTTAAACAAGCTCCATGTATTTTGACTAAGACCTAGTTAGCCAGAGACTTCACTTAAAAGTCTAGTCAAATATCTTAGTACTCTGACACTAAGGAATACGGAAAGAGAATTAGCACTGGCCCTTCCTATTTATCCATTTTTCACTTTCTGAGAGATCCAAATAGTTTGAGGACCCTTGGGCGAACTGGAAATTTTGTCCCATTCAATTATACCTCACAATCATACGGGGTCCCGGAGTTGCCATGAGTTCCACATGGTTTTCAGAACTAGAGATAAACTGGGGCCAATCTAGAATACTCAGAGCCCCTAAAAAGAGGTACAGGGTTGGGAAAGAAAAATAAGGATCTACTGACAATCAATTTGCCATGCAGGGCATAAGTACTTCACGTGTGCCAGCTCATTTGTTATTTCTAACCGCTCCATCATAAATTGGTTATTCTCATTTTAAAGAGGAAAAGGCTCCAGAAACTAAGCAAGTTTGCCCAAGAGCAAACAGCTTGAAAACTGGCAGAGGTGAGATTCAAACTTGTGTCTCCTCTGCATTTTCTACTACATCTGCCTCCATATCATGGACAGACATCCATGAAGAGTTCTGAAAGAGAACTGTACTGACCTCAGGAAATTTTGTAATGTTCAAAGAATATCAGAATCTAAAGGGCAGAATGTGTCAGAATTTCAATCAGCTGGAGCCAAATAGCCCATAAACTTGCTGGTCCTGGCTCCTGCTAATATTTAAAAAGCTGTTACACTCCTCTCTAGAATTACAAAGACCTCAAATACTCACCTACCCCATAATTTTTGTCATTTAAATCAAACAGCATATGATGATCACTGAATAACTTTGAAATATTTTAATAGATTTCACTTAAACATATAAAATGGATTTGAAGGATTAAATCCCTACACTAAAATGAAAATTATCATCACACAAAAAAATGGAAAAATATGCTCAAACCAAAAGCTCCCTGATAACAGGATGTTTTTCATCTACTGATTACCTCTCTGCAGCACTAGCTATGTGAAAAATGTGCTCATCTTCATTCTGTAACCGTTCTTTTCTCCTTCTTTCAATGTCATGTCGTAGGTCATTTGGATCTATTATTTTGACCAGAGTCTGAGGAATTTTGACAGAAGACAAACCATTCACATTACTGTTAGTTGTACAAAGACCATATCTAACAAGAACCTTAAGTAAAAGTCCTAAATAAGTTATCTTGTACTCATTCTACTAATGGTACTGTAAACTGATAAAAATATTTTGAGGCAAAATTGACAATACACAGTCAGAAAAGTGCATAACATTGAACCAGAAATCCCACTTCTGGGACTCTATCCCAAGGAAGAGGCTACCTACCCAAATATATTCAAAGTGTTATATTTAAAATAACAAAAAAAATGGAAGCAACTTAAATGTAAAAAAATTTAAAGGGGAAGGGAAGAATGATTTTATGGTAAATTTCAGTCAAAGGAATGATGTACAAGTATTTAAATTATGGTAATATAGACTATGTGGAAGCAAACATGGAAAAATACATATTTAAAAAAGTGAATTAAAACCTAAAAAGCCTCAATCATAAAAGGTCATAGGTAGTTCAGAGATTTTACATAAAAGGAATGCTATTATTGTTTAAGTACAGTCATGTGTTGCTTAACGACGGGGATACCTTCTGAGAAATGTGTTGTTAGGCGATCTCGTCGTTGTGCGAACATCATAGAGTGTACTTACACAAAACTAGATGGTATAGCCTACTACACACCTAGGCTATATGGTACTAATCTTATGGGACCACCGTCGTATATGCGGTCCGTCGTTGACCCAAATGTCGTTATGCGGTGCATGACTGTAAAAAGAAAAAAGCATCCAAAACTGCATATACTATGATAATGACTATGTTAAAATGCCAGATCTAAGACTGCAAGGAAAGATGATCAAATAATATTTGTGTTAAGTGGTTACATTAGAGGTGATTTTTCTAAATCCTCAAATTTCCTATATGTTGATCACAGAACTTTGATGAGTAGAAATTTTCTGAAAATATCATTTATTCAATAAACTAACCTATTTCCATAAGTTCAATAAAAATTGTAACCATCCAAGGTAAAAAAAATATATATGGTCTATCAGAAATGTATTAAAATCTCGCTTCTCGATGAATAAATTAGCAGTTTCTTTAGAACTTGATATATTTCTTCTAAAACTACAGCCAGTTTTCTCACCCCTGGCTAGTGAAGATAATTTTTCTAATTAGCAAAGAATTGAGGGAGCAGGCTGGGGAGGTGCTGGGTGGGAACCACCACACACAACACATGACAATAAGAAAATTCAGTATTATTTCCATTATTTTGCTAGTTCATATTCCATAGAATCTTTCATACATTCTACCGTAAACAGAAGGGCGATATCAAATGAAATAAAGTTCCTTTGCATTCATTCCACATACAATTTAAAAATATATTCCACATGACCGCTTTGGAAAAAAATAGGTATCAAACATACTTTCCACAAGCTTTACAGCGTGAAGTTTTGGAATGAATATTAAACGCTATAATTTTGTGTCAGTTTTACAAAGCTGTTATCCTTAGGGATTGTCTCTCTTAGGGAATATTTTTGTCTTTTGTTAGTGTTCTCTCTGCAACCGGGCCAATAACTAGAATCACTTGGAGAGCTTTGTAAATTTTAGATTCCTGGGTCTCAATCCTTCTTCCTCATCTACTTTTAACTCCCTTTTTTACTCCCAGTCACCAGATCCCTTTCCCATTAGTATACCAACAATAAGATAATCTCTCATCAAAAATTGTATTCACTTACCTGTCCTGATTCATATACCATAGTTTGTTTACTCTGAAGCTCGGCCAAAGACATATCTATTCTCCTAAAATAATAAAGGCATATTACAATTAAATAATTATGTTATACACTGATACCTTGATGCCATTACTACAGAATGGAATTTGAAATAAAGCTGGTGAGTCTTGGAGGAAGCAAAAGAAACTTGCTACTAGGTGGTTTTTCACCTATGTGGCAGTCTCCCAGGACACACATATCCTGTGAACAACATCACAGTGGCGCCTTAGTGGTTCTCAAATCACTAGTCTGTGTAACTTTAAACTTTGCTCCGGTGATCTCCTGCATTCTAACATTGATTCAATTCAGCTCACAAGACAGGGTGCACCACGTGCTCAGACAGGTGCCAGGAGAAGAAGACATATGTTGTCATCCGACTGCCCTCAGAACAGCCATTTCTGACCACATGAAGCAACCCATGATTTCAATGGCTCGACAACTGTCTTTCATTCTTCCAGTGATAACTTCAGTAGGCAATTACTATAGACACAGCAGAATCAAAGTTAGGTAAGTAAATATTTTCAAAGTCCTACACATTTAAACAATGCTAGTCAATGGCTTCAATACAACCTATTCCATCAAAGTGCACTGGCTCGTACCTACTTGAGTTAGTCCTGTTTTTACGGAGGAAATGCAGTCTGAGAGTCTACAGCAATCCCAGGAGACAGCACCCTCCTACATCTGTTCTGAGGCTTATTCCCATGAGTTAAACGGGCATAAAATAATCAATCATTACCTGTGAATTTCTGGATCTGAATTCAATTTAATTTCATTTACGTCTGCAGCTTGTGTATCTTGCATTTTTGAGAAACGCTCATGTAGAGTAATGTCAGGTGATGGAAAATAATTTGCTGAAAAAGGAAACAAATAGTTTTATTTCAGTGTAAAACTGATTCCACTTAAAAGATTAAATATAAGTACAGGAAGAAGGGACTATTAAAAAACATTCAACCAGTTTTCTCTTGAAAATATGTGGGACCTAAACTTATTCCACAGACTAATTTGTAGCGCTCACAAGCTTTTCCAAGCCCAAGCAAAAGTAAAAAACACCTGACTTAATGAACCCAAGGATTCTATTCCTATTTGGCATGCCTGCTTACTTGTCGGGGGGAAAGATAGCAGCTCTCTGAAAGTGAGCACCTTTCTTCACCAAGGTAAGACCTTACTATATCTGGGAAGTAAAGATGGTATGAGCTCTACAGTTCGCCTAGAGTAAAAAAATAACTCCAAAAACAACCCTGAAACATCAAAACGATTCTGAACAAATGCTAAACGTTGTTTACACACCACAGAAGGCCTCTCAATGCCATTTTACTTTAATTAACAGTGAAGCTCATGAAGACACTCTGAAAGGAGCTATGCTACAGGCTTTTAATAGGATAGAGAGAAAGATAATACAATTGACCCATCAGAAAGCTACTTAAGCAATCCTTTTCCCTAACTTACTGTTCCTGTTCTAGGACAATCTCCTGGATTTTTCTGCAATACCAGCTCCCTTTCTGCCAAGAGTCACACTTCCTTTGGGTGAGAGGGGCTGGAACTGAGAAGGTGAACTATTTCAGACAAACTGCCTGCTTTAAAGTAAATATATGCCTTAGTTTGAGGGATGCAGAGAAAATTCATTTTCGAAATATGTTTCACAAAGGTAAAAAAGATTAACGCAATTACCCAGTAAGAAATGTAAAATAAAAATTTTGAAATTCTTGAAGATCTCTAGTTTATAATATCCACAATTGCCTTATTCATGCAGCATCAATGAGGAAAGTTGTTCTACAGGACTGAATTTTCCAATTAATGGAAATTGGCCAGAAGCAAAAAAAAACCAACAAAACAACTCAATACAAATCTTTAAAGTATTTATTATGCAACTCCCTGATGTTATAAAGTATGGCAAATGAAACTGGAATCTTTTATTGATCACTAGCATCACCCTTATGGCATAAAGTTCCAGTAATGCCCTCGGGGCTTTAAGAATATCACCAAATGACCTAGACTTCCAGATTTCTTGAGTTTCTTGAGTTTCATATCTGGTTCTTGTTGCTTCCTCCTTCTTGTTTGGTTATCACGGTTTCTTGCTGCTCTCAGTACGCCTGTCTTTTGCAATAGCCAGCTTCTCCCTTTGTAACTTTCAATATCTAATCTACCGTGAGTTGAAGTACCAGGTTACTGGAACTACATATCAAGAACAACTAGGCTTGAATTAATACCTTCTACTTTCTCCAACAGATTTCCTAATTAATGATCTAATTTATAATGCAATATTAATTAGTATTACAATATCACAGATATTTACCTATATCTCATGAAAAGTCAGTACACTATTTTTGTGTTATCCCTAATGTATGTGCAAAATATACCAACCTTTAACTTGATGGATTATAGTTATGATTTCCTGAGCAAATTCTCCTGTAGGTTTGTTTTCAGTATTCTGAGTTGAGTCAAGATGTTCAAACACTGGATGAAAGTTTTCACTTTTCCTGCCAACAGCAACCAAATCATGTGACATCTGTCTCTCTGTGGAATAGCTAGAAGCAACCCTAGAATAATTTGTAAATGTTTAACTAAATTTGAAACTATTTTACTGAGAAAAGAACTTATTACAAATTAATCAAGACAGCTATAAAACTAAAAAGCTGCTTATCTTTTCTTATAATTAAGGCACTAAATTGTATGCCATAAAACATGTACAATAATGAGTAGGAGAAAATAGCTATAGATGCACGGTTTTGAGTTCTCCTTTTCAAATCAGCGATCATTAAATATTTGCCACTTTAATAATAAAATCCTCAAAATTCTTAATTTTTACTTCAAAAAATACAGCAAGGCATTAAAGACACTCGATATGTAAAACATAATCAATTAGATTATTTTCTACTCCCAAACATCCATAAAATTGTAAATCTAGCAAGCTTACACTATCTTGAAATACTACTGCACTTTAAGAGCTGATATCAAACATAATAACTTCTCTGACTTCATACAAATCCTTATACCTCTGTATCAGTAATAAGAAACTTAGGATAGTATTTTGAAATCAAATTCTGTTGAGACTAATTTAATCACCTGTAAAGTTTCACTCAACTCTCAGTCTTAGTTGTTAGCAAAGTTATGATCATTAGAACCAATTACAGTGTTTACCCTAAATATATCCTTAAAGAAATGGTACAATTTATGATATAACCCCAACTATCTCACCACTTTAATGCTTTCTGAATCTTGACAACTTTCGTTAAGAGCTCTCTTGACCTATAGGTACCATTATAAAGCCATGACATATACCTAACAATTTATTGGGGGCTTACCACATGCCAAACACAGGGGCTTAGAGCTTACAAAAATTATCTCATTTAATCTTTACAACAGCCCTATGGGGAAGGTAATATGACACTGAGACAATGGTTGTTTGGCTTCCAAGTGTCATAATGGGAAACTATACCTTATTCCAAGAATGCTGCTCTTGCTTAAACTACTCTTAAATTCTTTGTCTGGAGGCAGTTTATGCGCTAGTCAGCTCACACCCATCTTACTCCTCTGCACTTAACTCTAAATAGCTTTTGGTTCTTCCCAAATATCAAGTTCACCATCCAAAGAATTGAGATTTACAACTGCTAGGGTCTTTATGAATATGTTACAGGCTCTGAAGATAAATCCAAAAGAGAGACCTGAAATATGTTTTAAATAATAGCAGCACCACTGGGAAAAAGACACCTCTTCATATAACAAAAATCAATCAGATGGATACATTTGTGGGTGTACGCAAACACATATTTACTTATTTATTTAAGTCACTTAGCCGTACATCCAAAACTGCTCCAGGGTTATGAAAGGCTTACAGATGTTCCTTAACTAAAAATTTTAACTCCTCTAACAAGATGGTTGTAAGTGCCTATTTTTAATTTATCAGAGGAAAGGCTTCCATCTGACTGCTCTTAAACCAGCACTGTTGAGACAACTCCCTGCCAAGGCAGAAACACGGAAAAGTGATTATGCAGCAGGTTGATGCCACTGCTGTGGTTTTCTTGATTCATTAGAAGAACTTTCATTAGAAGGCCCATTTCCCTTCTTTCCTCCTAATTTGCTCCAAGCTTCCCACTGTGTATCAGATAACTAAGAGGCATTTAGTGATAAAGGCTAGAAACTAGAGTTGCCCTGTAACAACCTCCACTAACAAAGAATCACAAATGCTCTCTGTTTAAAGGGGTCTAAGGGTACAAAAAGCCTGTTCCATACCAAAAAATAGCTTTTAAAAGCACTTTAAAAGAGAAAAATAAGATATTTAAATAGAACTATAAAAATGGTCCATCCATAAGGGGAAATCAGTTGATAACGTTTTTTATTGCAGCCTCAGTTTCTCCCAAGAGGAAACTAGCTGATAAAGGCTACCAGTTTTTTAGTAGGTAGTTATTAAAACCACTTGCAATTTATTATTACTGGCATAACTCTTATCCCCACTCCATGCCCAACCTTTAATCCATAGAAGTGCTGTGGTATACTTTGAAGCTATACTTAATTCCCGAAATTTTAGTGTTTAAACTTGCTATCAGTTAAAAAATTTATCTTAGAGTTACCCCACTGCAAGATTTTTAATTAAAAATATTAAAATTATTATTTTCTAGAAAACCTACATGAAAATAGTATAACCTACAATTTTAGTCTTTTAAAAACAATTGTACTTTTGCCATAAGAAAATCATTGGGACTTGAGAATGCAAAATGTTCAAAGTATTTACATTTGTAAATTTAATCACTTCTTGGTTCAGTTTCCTTTTTACTATTTCCTACGATATTATTGATCAATAAATTAACAATTTCAGGAAATACGCCCAACACAAGTAGTTAAGCTGAAAAGACCAAATGTTCTCATTTGAGATGCATTTTAGACAGTTTTAAAAATTAAAATATAGCCACACATCTGTATTCTAATACTACTTCTAATACTCGTCTGATTAAATCTTCCAGGTTCCTCTCTTTCCTCTCTCCACTCCCCCTCGCTTTTTTCTTGGTTTAAGGATATTTCCCCTGACATTCTGCCTGAGTGTTGTGCATACTAACTAAAAAAACATAAAAAGCTACATCAAATCTTAATTTCCTCTTACACACAGTTAAGAGCCATCAAAAATCAACTGCATGGCAAAACTACAGTAACAAAAAACCAAACAACAACAAAACCAAAGGATAATCCCCTGCCCTCTGGAAGCTTACAATAGATCACAAAATCCACATGACACACATAAAGTTTTCCTTTCTCAGTTTTCTTCCAACTAATAACTAACATTTTGTACAGCATCTACTGTTCATAAAGCACTTTCCTACTTATGAATTTGCTCCTGTCTTCCTAAGAACACATTTAGAATTTTTGGAATTGAGGGAAACTTCTACTCCCTTAATTCAGCATCTCATTTTTTTTTTCTGAGGAAGATTCGCCCTGAGCTAACATCTGTGCCAATCTTCCTCTATTTTGTATGTGGGTCACCACCATAGCATGGCCGCCAACAAGTGGTGTAGGTCTGCGCCCAAGAAATGAACCCCAGGTCGCTGAAGTGGAGCGTGCTGAACTTAACCACTAGGCCATGGGGCCAGCCCAAGCATCTCATTACTTTTTTCACAAAAGTCCCCTAACTGACCTCACCAACCCCAACACTTTTCCGAGCCACCTCACAGAAAGCAGTCCTCCAGCAGCCAGAACTGAGCCACCTGCCATCTCCTATCAGCTAATCCTGTCAAATCAGACTGGCAGAGTAGCATTCTTACCTTCGCAGCCTTCTGTCCCTCTATTGCCTTTCACTGACTGCTTGGAACCACACAGCTCAAAGTCCCTGTGTGTGTTTTCTGCCCTTGTTAACCTACAAACATAAAATGTCTTTCCATCTCCATGTGTCTAAAACATACCAACCTTCGAAGCCTAGCTCACATGCCAACTCCTGAAAGAAACCTTCCCTGAATGCCCCAGCTTAGGATCATCTGAGCTGCACACCACCTCATGTATCACCAACTGTGCCACAATATTACCCATGTCGCCCTATTGTCTAGAAGACCAGAGGAGAAGAAACCTAATCCTATGCTGATTTATAGTCCCAGGGTACCCTAACAGGCTGTCTCACACAGGGTAAGTCCTCAAAAAATACCTGCTGAATGAACAAATGATAAATGGAAAATGACTTGGACAATTTGAAATAAGAGTTTTAGCTAAAGACGACAGACTTCAGAATTATAATTGAGGCCAATTTAATTTTGTTTTTTAACTTTCTTGGCTTACTTTTTATTTTAAAATTTAGACCAATTTAAATTTTAAATGTTTCATTTTTTAGAATATAAAATATATACAAATGTTCAGAGAATCCTATGAGAAGCCCATCAACCCAGCTTCAATTGTTATCAACACATGGCCAATCGAAGCAAACTTGTAGAGCCAGGAGGAACTGCAGGTTAATTTGGGCCCAAAAAGGTGTGGCCAGGTGACCTGCCCAATGTCACAGAGCTGCTCAGTGACCCAGAGGAAGACAAAAACCTATGTACCTGGACCCCAAACAGAAAGTTCACCTCCCTATACTCAGATTCCTAAGAGACACTAAGAGAAACTCGGGTGAAAAATGGGAATGAAGGGGAATATTCTCTCAATTAATTTTTTATTTAAAAAATGTATATTATAAATTATTAAAACATCAATAAAAATGTATATGAGAAATATTAGGGGGAAAAAACCTTAGTTTTTTGTGATACATAACAGCAAGGTAGCAGGTCTGTGTAGCACAAATTATCTCCACCCACAGGTTATTTTGCTTCCAACTGAACAGTACCCATCAGAGGTAAACGCGTGTGATTAGGTTACCTTCCTTCAAGCCTCGCTGTGGTTTCTTACACTGTTTCCCTGCCTACGCGGCACGCCTTTCCTCAGAGCATCAGGGCTCCATTACCCACCTCATCCCCTTTCAGAATGGGAAAAGACCTGATGGGGGTATGGAGGCGCTCTCTGTATCTCTTCAGTAGGAAATAAAAGGATTAAATGCAAATGTAGCTGAGGTACTCAGTCCAATGTCAACTTTGCTAGCCAACCCTCCCATCCTAGATGCCTAGTACCAGCACCGGGGAGGTCAAAGGAGCCCCAGCTCCATCTGCACCAGCTTATTCTTCTCCAGAGACTGGCACCCCCTCCTCCTCCCTCTCATTCCCTTCCTAGCCTGACCAAGGTTCAGTCACTCACCTATTCAGCCCAACATTAAACCAAAACTCCCTTCACGGGCCCCAAGACTTCCAGATGTATACAACAGTTAGTGTTTGGGGTTCATAACAACCTTAGTACAAATTTTCATATTGTGACTCCCTAACTTACATTCTGAAACATATAATTATGACTCATATGTAACTCCCACCTCTGATAATGCAGTTTCTGACAAAGTGGGTCACTAGAACAGAGTCTGTGTTAACAGAAGTATTAACTATGTGGTGAACACTCAAGCAAGTGTCTACCTACTGCTGTTCTAGATACAAACTGGAGTCTAGAAAAATCACTAAGTGATAACCATATGTTTTCAACTACACTGATAACTGGAAGAACATATATCAATACTTGACCAAAGCTAAGAAAGTAAACAAATGCATAAAATGAACCATCTTAGTCTTTCCAAAAAAGTGGATGAACTTTCTAGATTTTAACCAACAAATAAACCTCTCTCCACTAATCTTTTCAAGCAGAGGAAAATCTAATTTATGTTAATAGTTGAGAACATGACTCTATTGAGGGCATTAACTACCTTTGTTTTATGGATACTTCAGCGGTCCACACATAATTAAATCCAACTCCACAAAACTCTTCCAAAACTCACGCATCAATAAATAATTATGATCAGAGAGAAAGATTTTGTTGACTATGATGCTTTATCATCCCGAAAAGATACATGTATTTATTAAGTTATTTATTCTTTAGGTCTTTGAATAGAAAGGCTTTGCGGTGGAAGCTCTTTATTACACAAGCCGTCCTAAAGGTCCCTGTCAGGTAATTCAAACATGCACTTACAGGCCCCACCAACAGGTCATGAAGTTTCACAAAATTATAGTTTATAAATTCAAAACAAAAGAAACAGCAGTCTTAATTTTAGGAAGCTCATTTTTGTGACACATGATGAAGATCAAGCTTCCATTTCTCAATATCAAATCAAAAGATAAACTGTGTTCAGTATCTCTAATGAGGTCTATTAAAATAAAATCCTGCAGAATTGGTATTTCTAGTATTCTTTAAAAGTGCTATAGCCAATTTATTAATTCTCTTTTAAGTATAAAACACTTCATTATTAAATATGGGGTATCATTGCTTTTATTAAAAAATTGAAGTTTTTGTGATTTGATTGTATGCAATTTTACCTCAAAAGAAAAAAACTGTAAACAAAAATTAAATACTGAAGTATTTAAAGGGGAGTGTACTGATATCTGCAATTCACTTTGAAATGCACCAAAAAATAGGATGGAATGATAGATGAACAGATGGACAGATAGGTGATTATGAAAGTAAAGTAAGGGCCGGCTCCGTGGCTTAGCGGTTAAGTGCACGCGCTCTGATGCTGGCGGCCCGGGTTCGGATCCTGGGCGCGCCCCAAGGCACCACTTCGTCCAGCGCGAGGCCGAGTCCCACGTACAGCAACTAGAAGGATGTGAACCTATGACATACAACTATCTGCTGGGGCTTTGGGGGGAAAAAATGAATAAATAAAATCTTAAAATAAAAAAAAAAAAGAAAGTAAAGTAAAATGTTAATTGTACACTCTAGGTGGTGGGTATATAGGAGTTTACTATACAGTTCTATTTTTCTGTATGTTTGAACATTTTCATAACATAATGTTGGAAAGACTAAAAGCTTAAGGTAATATCCTTAAACTTGATGCTTACAGCAGCCTTTGTGCTCTTAAGATTAAGAACTAGTAGGAAATAGCGCAAAATGATTTAAGACATATTATATGAAATAGGATACAAAATTATTAATACGGTATTATGACAACCATGTATAAATATACATAGAAGAATAACAAAAGGAGCTGTACTAAAATATTAATAAAATTGTCCTGGGTAGTAGGATTATGGGTGATTTTCCCCCCTCTATTTGTACAACTTTCTGTAATGTAATCATATTTATAAATGCTTTCTGTGCACATACAAATATACATACGTATATTTAAAAATATTTTTTGCAAGTACAATGAGTGTAAGGAAAATATGAGGGAGGGGGACTGCCATATCTAACTTTAAGAAACAAAATATGTTTTGTTTAGAACAAAACAAGGACTGCATGACTGCATGTTTACCTCTCTCCCTGTCACATCCTAATCTTGGATTTTGTTTTCTCTTGTTTTTGATTCAAATACAGATGTGAGTCAACTGTGAACGTCAACTCAACATGTCCGTCACTTCTTTATCCACATATTGGTAGTGTATTAAGGTAACAAACAGACTTAGATGACATAGCCAACTGCAGTGCCTTATTAGTCTCAGAATCCATAAATAGAGAGAATATTCATAATGGAACAAAGCATGCAAACCGTTTTAGGAGAATATAACCTATTACAACAGTAGTCTATTTTTTTAAAGAATCATTAAGAATGAAACCAAACGTCTATCAATAGGCCTCTTTCTAGACTCTAGCCTAATTTCCTCTACCTAGGAGAATCTAGTCAGTTGAGTGCCAATCATTTTGAGAAAGCAGCAAGAACCACATTAAGTCACTTGCCTCCTTGAGTCACCAGGGGTCACGCGGATTTGAGCCCCAGGCACTCTGACTTAGACAAGTCACTTCATCCCTCAAGGCCTCACTCTCCTCCTCTATAAAATCAGGGCCTGCTAACGTTCCTTCCAGGTCAAAAACTCTCTGAATTTTAGGGAACAGGAAAACAGGCCCTGAGAAACTGAGCAAGGAATAGGTCCCCTTTAACTCCACCCAGCCTATCCGTGGATACAGAAAATCTGGTAGCATAAAAATACGGCGACTCATGAAGAGGAACAACTCCATAGAATGCCCTGCACCCAAAAAACATCTTGAGATCCAATGTGGAAACAAGCAGACATGAGATCACCCCATATTACTAAGCGTGAGATTCATCCTCATTATAGGGCTTTTTTCAAAAATCCAATCCCTCCCCACTAGATGGACTCTAAACACACTATTAATTCCATTTTCAAAGGTTCAAATAAAGGTGACAGAAACAGTTATAAATTATCATTAAGAAAAAACAAAGATAATACCTGGGTGCATTTACTGTTTTCTTCACATCTACTTTAACTGTAATCAATTTCTTCCTAAGAGTGGCAGATGAAGGTTTCACATCAGAAAGTTTCTTACTTTTATCAAGTTGGTTACTGGAAGAGTTGCTCTCTTTTCTGCCATCCCCCTCTTTCTTTGTTTTGTCCTTCCATTTGTCATTACAGGATCTCAAACCAACATCACATTTACTTGAATGAGTACAGGCAGTACAGTCTTTCTTAGATGGTTTAAAAGGTTCTTTGACTTGCCCACCTTCAGTCTCTCTCTCTCTTCCAGCATTAAAATAATTGGACTCTCTGTTTACAGGGCCTTTTTGAGAAGTGTATTTTCTATCTTCCTCCTTAGAGTACTTCTGAGTTCTTCCATCGGAAAAGTCCTGGTCCCTATCTGAGGTCTTATGACGTTTGTGGCGATAGTCACAGGATAGCCTGGTTGCTGAACTGGTCTCTGGGGGTTCCCTCTGAGCATGTCGATGAGTTTGGGGCCCAAGGTTCCGGTGATCTTTCTTCTCTTGGTAAGGTGAAAAAGAATGCTCAAACTTCCACTGTGGGTTCCTGGCAGGCTCTCTGCTTTCATACCTCTCCACGTCTTGAGGTCTTGTTGATGTGTGTCCATATGTTCTGAAATCACGATCCTCAGGATACCTGTGTTGACATAAAGCAGTTTACACTCGCACTAGAGAGAGGAAAGGGAGAATTTATATGTGTGGAATGTTGGGCAGCATGGCTTTAAATGCAGAACACAGTGGCAAGTTAACCTATAATCCCTCAAGCCAACTCATAGAGGCACAAGGTAGTTAAAGAGGAAAATACCATCTGTTTAAAAATATTCTAGCTATCAACATGATTTACTCTAAAAATAAACACTTCACTACTACCAGTAGACCATAACTACATCATAAAGCTTTTTATCTTTTTAGACAAAAGCTTTTCAAGTTGGTTATCTTCAACCATAAAGTAAACAGACTTTCACTTGAGGCTTTATACCAAATTACCCAGGGTTAATGTTTTCCTATACCTCTTGGGAAAAGAGCTCCTTTTCTCAAAATCTTCAGAACCTCTTCTAAATGATGGAGAATAGTTTTCATCTTGTATCCTCTGGTGCCTCAACTCATCTTCATGCCACTTTCCTTCGAATCTAAAAGAATCTGCTATTGACCTCTGAGGTGGTTTCCCTCCTTTTCCACTTCCTCTCACTCTGTGGTCATCAGGAGTATACCTTCCTTGCACTTTCTGGGGATAACAATTCCTCTGGTGCTCTTTGTAGGGTACACCTTCTGAGTAGCTGGGCATATACTGAGATCTTCTGTTACCATCCTCTCTTTCTGGTAAATATACTCGGTGAGGCTTATAAGCATAAAAATTTTCTAAAGAGTCTCTTCTTGTATTTGGGGAAGGTGATCTTTGTTCATAAGATCGGTAATGTATATTTCCACGAGAAGGAATCCTTGGTTTACTCTGCCCATATTTCTCATTGTCCATTCTCCAAGCCATGGGTCTTTCTGGATCCTTCCTATATTCACAGCCATAACGCTCAGGAGAATGCCTTTGCTTGTAATATTCAGAATTTCTAGGTAATGGTGATAAAGACCTACGTAAACAAACACAGAAAATTTAGTCCATTTAGACAATAAACTAAGTTTGTCTTAACATGACTTACCTAAATAAAACATTTGCTTTACACTGCTTCTTCCAATCAAATTAAATTCAACAATTTGCTTTATCTGCATTCTAAATTGTCCATTTGAGGGTCTAATTATGCTTCTTCCCAATTCAATAAGCATACTCTTTCCATCTGAACTAACGTATCCCACATGCATATCAAAATGGACTGAATACACCGTCCTGTTGGAGGACCGGCTTAGGTACACAGCAGGATCCATTTTGGAAGGCTGCTGACAGCAAAGTTGTGGCAAAAGGGCCAGTCAGCAAAAGCTTACATCAGGTTCAACGGTCAGGTAAGAAACAAGCAGGAGGGCTGGATTCACACAAACAAATGTGTAGGAGAGTCTCTGGCAAACTCAACATAATTTCTGAAATGAAATTAGATTCTAAGAGTTTATGATGCCACAATAAACCCAAACTCAGATCCCAAACTGACCTCACAGTTTCTCCAACTAACTGTCTATTGTCTCTACTAAGGCTATATCAAGGAGGAAAAAATACATACCTAAATGGTGTGTGTTGGGGGGAGAGGGTCTTAAGACTTGAATCTCATGCTTTGTCCCTCCATAAATACTACTAACATAGATAAGTTGCTTTTCTTTCCCAGACCTGTTCCCCTACATATAAAATGAAAGATAGACTGTTGAAACAGAGCTTGTAACTTTGGTGAATATGTGCTTTAATGCAGCTATAACACTCTCCAGGGACGGCACATCCTTTCTGTAACTACCTTCTCCAATACCTCAGCATTGCCAACATCGAGCCTTTCATTCCCACTGAGGAGGAAGGCTCCTGTAGCCAGGGAAACCAGTCTGAGTTCCTCAGACTTTAGGATAAGAGAGAGGAGCGCCACTATCTGGAACACAATAAAGTTCCATGTTGCATCTGGGGACCTTTCCTCCATCTGACCTGTCCAATCTCCCAATCTTCCCCCTGAGGGTTTGATGTCTTCTAATCAATGAGGCAGCTACCCTTGCAGCTTTTGTTATCATCCTCCCTTCAGAAGCTGCCACGGAGCTGGAGCAACCATGAGTAAAACCCTTTCCATTTGGTGACATGTCTGTGTCCTCCCTACAAGAAAGGAGGCAGATTTATCTTCCTCATGTACACGGTGGGATTTATATACTGGACTTGGCAATATCTCCCTCCGGAGTCACTAGGCTAGATGTACTGGCAAGTGCTTTATTTAGCTGAAGCAGGAACTCTGTCACCCAGCTGGCTGTACCTCATCACAGGAAGAAGCAACTGGAGCCTCTGAGGACTTCCTGGAAGAAGTCCTTCATCTCTTCCACTGCTAAGGAGAAAAGCTGGCAGCCAGAGGCTGAGGTCTTCCAGACTGGGCAAAATACTCAATCGCTTACTTTAATCTTTACCTCACACTGAATACCACTTTGATATTATATTTCATATCTGAGTTTTATTGTATGGAGCCCCTTTCTTCTGAAGGAGATTTCTGGAACAGTTGTTATCAATTTCAGTTTTCCTAAAGGGACAAAAGAGACCCAAGGAGTCTGCTGGGAGACAATTCTCCATGGGTCTCTCGTGTTCTGCATGCCTTGTGAGCAGAGGCTCTGACAGCATTTTTTCCAAGGCAAACAGCCTGGGAAGATGGAGATAGGGCCTTCCTCAGGGGCAGAGGACTGATCTGCTTGCTGTCCAGGATAATAAGAGATAATGTCTCCTCCTAGGCAAAGGCTCAGCAGGTCTGCTTGCAGCCCCTGATGGGGCTCAGGTTCCTGAGCTGTGTCGTCACCCCACTGCTCCGCTCTGCAGCGTCTGCCCTCAAGGGACTAGGGGTAAAGCGAACACAGGAACACAAAGCTCAAGCTGCCTGCTATAGGATGAGCAATGAAAGCCTTTATCACTGATCCAGGAGTGCCTTGTGACAGGCTAATGTGTTAGCTTGCAAGTAGGGTAAAATATCCGACTCTTTACCATTTGGACAAAGAGTCCTGAGCAGGAATCCAGAAATCAGGCGCTAAGCTTGGCAGGGTCTTTTGTGCACCCTCACCAGGGCCTACCACAAAAGGGTGCAACAAAACAGCCTCTGTGATGCCCTCAATGTTAAAATCATTCGCTTCTTTACATTCCCTTTTCTTTCTGAAGCTCCTCCCCGTTACAATTTGGTCTTGTGAACTACAAAATGAAAACTGTTGAAGAAATGATTGATTTGTCATTGTAGAACCATAATGAACAAGCACAATGGCCAAATCCTAGTAACATGAAAAATCTTGGTCTGTCTTTTGTGTAAGTAATTATGGTCCTTTTTAAGTCCTAGAACCTACTAGTCACTTTCCCAGCTCTCCTTTGTTCCTGCTGTCCCTCTTAACTGGAATACTTTTCTTCTCTCTTTCTGCCTTGAGAAATTCTACCCATCCTTAAAGGGCCAGCTAAAATCTCATCTCTTCTTTGAAGACTTTCTTAGTATCCCCCTTTCCTCTCCACAAAAGCAGAACTATTCCCTCCCTGTGGATCCAGAATACTTTGTCCCAGTCAGGAGCACCACACTTTTCCCACCGTATCACAGTTGGCTATTGGTGTCAATCTCCCCAGCTAGCCTGCGTGCTTGCTGAGACCCCGGAAAATGTCATATTTGCCTTTGTAGCCCCAGAACCTGCCTATAGCAGGTATACAATAAATACTGGTTGAAATGTTCCAATCTCATTATATATACTATTGATACTACCAACTAGGACAGAGAAGTTATTCAAAACTCTTAATTCTGCCTTGAAGAAGAAGCAATAGGAAACTCTCAATTTTCTAACTCCCAATTTATTCAAACATATTATGAAAAAAATAAAATAAAATATATACTGAAGAGTTCTTAACCACTTACTGATGTAAAAAAATGTAATTCTCAAAGATTTTCTCACTATCCCTTGCTGTGGTCATTGCATTTCTTTTTATTATGGATTAATTCTATCTGCCAGCCACAATTAAAGAAAGCTGTCAGTTCCTAGAACCTAAAAATACAACCTCTGTCTCTATAAAGCATTTACCGTGAACAACCAGGTCCCATGAGCTTATTAAAATAGGTTCGTAGTACCAGTGAATTTGGAAGTCAAAGTACATCCCAAATCCAAGTTTACTCTGCTAAACTACGAACTGCTCACCTGTGTTTCCACCTGGGGGATCTAGAACGTGACCGTGCCATCCTTGGACACGTGAGCCACCATCCACTTTTTATACTGCAAAGAAACACAGTATTAGCAAGTTTGTAGAAAGAGCCTGCAATCTGCTCTAAAAACAGTGAATGCCACCAACAAAAAGTCACTTAAGCCCTCTGTGCCTCAGTTTCCTCATCTGTAAAATGGGGATGATAATAGGACTCACCTTATTGAAATGTTGTAAGGATAAAATGAATTAAACCAGGAGTCAGCAAACTTTCTCTGTAAAGTGCCAGATAGTAACTATTTTAGGCTTTGCGGGCCATATAAAGTCTCTACTACAGCTTTTTCTTTCTTTCTTTCTTTTTAACAATCCTTTAAAAATATAAAAACCTGGGGCCAGCCCGGTGGCGTAGTGGTTAGGTTCGTGCATTCCTCTTCGGCTGCCTGGGGGTTCGGATCCTGGGCGGGACCTGCTCACTGCTCATCAAGCCATGCTGAGGCGGTGTCCCATATAGAAGAGCTACAACTTTACAACTATGATACACAACTATGTACTGGGGCTTTGGGGAGAGAAAAAGAAAAAAAGAGAAAGATTGGCAATAGCTGTTAGCACAGGGCCAATCTTCCTCAAAAAATAAATTAATTAAATAAAAACCATTCTTGGCTCAAGGGCCACAAAAAAACAGGCTCTGAAGGCCAAATGCACTGTAGTTTGATAATCCCTGAGTTAGGTCACGAAAAGAGCTTAGAACAGTGCCTGGCACACAGCAATTGCTAAGTAAGTGTTCCAAAAAGAGGAAAAATTACCCAGAATTCCTCTATCTGAACACAATCACTACTACCTTCCTGTCTTTCCTCATGTACATAAACACTTCATATAATCACAGTCAAAATGTTTAGGAATACTTGATGATATATCCTGCTTTTTAAATTATTGAATAATCAGAATTACAATGTCTAATTATAGTACTCAATTGCTACCTAACTTTCACCAGATAAATATACCAAAACTTAATTAAGCATGACTAGACATTTAGTTTCCTTCTGATTTTTTGCTAAAACAAATAATGTCAAACAAGTAAATTTTATCAAATGATCTTTTTTTTTTGTGAGGAGATCAGCCCTGTGCTAACATCTGCCAATCCTCCACTTTTTTTTATCTTTTTGCTGAGGAAGACTGGCCCTGGGCTAACATCCGTGCCCATCTTCCTCCACTTTATATGGGACGCTGCCACAGCATGGCTTGCCAAGTGGTGCGTCGGTGCACGCCCGGGATCCAAACCAGCAAACCCTGGGCCCCCGCAGCGGAGCACGTGCACTTAACCACTTGTGCCACTGGGCCGGCCCCAAACAAGTAAATTTTACAAGACATGTAAACTTGATTTTTCAAATATTCTTCAGTCTTTAAAAGAAACTGATAGCTTTAGGAATTGAATTTTAAAAATATGTGATTAGGGTATAATCTTCTGTACTAGCTATTATTTACATTTCAGTAATCCTCCCCAGTTCTGATACTATAATTAAGCAGTTCCCAACCTACTGGCCCCAAACCCCTGGTGGCTTTCAAAATTATTGCCATGGGTCCATGACTAATACACACAGCCACCATGCACAGCCTATAGAATGAATAAGTATATGTCTCATATATTATAACCTCTATTTTGCCAATTTATGAAGATACTGTGGTGATGGTTAAAATATCAATGGCTTCTTGTCACTATGTAGTTTTTCCACTGACTGATACAAAAAGTACAACTATTATTACACGGACATCAGTTTAAAAAGGGAGTCCTCATAGTCAAACATTTGCAAACCATTGTTATAATGAATTTCAGAAGAAAGTAAAAGCATATAAAGTCAAAGGACTTGAACCAGATCATTCATCAGAAGAAGTACATTCAGTTCAACTCATTTAGTTATGCACTGCCTCTTTCCAAAAAGAACTTGAGGCTAGGAAGAACAATTAATTCAGATGTACTATAAAAACTAATGTTACCTCAATAAAAAAAAAGAAAGAAATGCATAAAGTTAAAAAAAAAAGAGAGAGACACTAAAGGGGAAAATGTTTACTTAGTAACTAAAATGTCAAAATGCATTCCTTCGACAAATGTTATGAGTACCTATTATTTGCCAGGCACTGCTCTGGGGATACAGCAGTGAACAGAAACAGGCGCAAGTTCCTGCCCTCCTGGAGTTTATGTTCTATTGAGGGAGCTTATAATTTAACCAAAGAAGCTTTGGGTATCATTTCATATCTATTAAATTGAACAAAAATAATAAATCCAAAGGTTGTGGGGGGGGGGCACCAAGTATTGGTGATGATGAAAAAGCCTGGGCCGGCCCCGTGGCTTAGCGGTTAGGTGCACGCACTCCGCTGCTGGAGGCCCGGGTTCGAATCCCAGGCGCGCACCGATGCACCGCTTGTCCGGCCATGCTGAGGCCGCGT